TCAGCGGAAGCCGCCTCCTTTTCATCCCATGGCCACCAAGCAGAGAGGAGCACCCTGGGATCTCTGCCATCTTCAGCCCCCCGGGGAGGCGGAGGGAGACCGGGAGCCCTGTGGAGCCAGCTCAGCCCTCTCGTCGCCTCTAGGTGAGGCAATTGCTGGCCGACACTTGGGCCTCCGGCCTGGGCGTCCAGCAGCAGAGACCCCTCCGGTGGTGGGAATATGGACCCCAGACCTCCCCTTGCTCCCCTGGCTCCTCTGCCAGCATGTGTTCCTACCCACAGACCTCAGCCCAGCCAGGCCTCCTCTCCACCACACTGGGAGCCTGCCTTCGGGTTAGATCCGTGCAGAGACGCCTTCTTGGATCTTCGCAGAGACTCACTAGCCACATCAGCCTCTCCATCCGAAGTTCTCCATTTATGTGGAGATGAGGACACTGCAGACCAGAGAGGTTACATGACCTGCTCAGTGTTACACAGCACATTTGAGCATTAGCCCCCAAGTCCCCAGAATTCCAAATCATCCCAGCTCTTCCTGAGGGGACTGCTTTTCCTTTCTCTCCAAAACTCTCCTCACCTTCCCTTTTGCTCCAAGCACAAACAACCCTTCAAGTCCTCGAGTCCCAGAAGTCTCGGGGTGGGGGTTTCCTTCCATCTCTGGAAGATGCCCTCATTTCCCTCGTTCTCAGTGGAAAGGACTTAGCAGCCCCTTCCCCAGGTACTCTGTGCTCTGGGAGTGGGCTGGGCGGGACTGATGCCTGAAGCAGCCGCATACCCCCTCACGCCACGCCACGGAGCGATGCCTTCTATTCCTCCTGGAACCCAGGGCCTGACCCAAACCACCCTGCCATAGCACCCTCTTCCTTCCTGCCTCTCGCCCATCTTCCAGTGCTCCCAGAAACCTCCCCAAACTCCCCAGCTGAATGCAGCTCTCCCTCCCTGGGCCTCCCAGCCCGGCCCCCGCCGCAGAGTTGACCTCTGTCTGCCTCTGTCTCAGAGGCGCGTGCGTGTTCCTGTGTGTCCCCACTGGTCTGTGAGCTCCATGAGGGCGTGGACCATGTCTTGCTTTTCTTTGTGTCCCCAGTGCTTGGCACAGAGCAGGTGCTCCAAACTGTCTTTCTTGAATTTAATTGAACCTGAGGCTGGTGTTTTGGCAGCTACACACCTGGACCCCAGGCTGCTAAACTATGACAAGAGCTCAAGGGCAGCAGAGGAAATGGAGAGCCCGCCTCAGCCCCTTCCTGCTCGGCAGCACGTGGCTACCTCTCAGGTCCTCCCATCCTCAGCCCGGCCTGGCCCCGCCTGGCTGAGAAGATGGGGAGGAGGAACCAGTCAGAGACAGAACAGGTCTGTGTGGGTGACTGCTCTCCTGCATGGGTTCATTTAAGGCCCAGTTTCGTGGGAAATCTTCTCCTCAATCCACTCCAACTCTGGGTGCTTGGGGCTGACCTCAACCATGAGGTCACCCAGCACAAGGGGACCCAGCTCCTGCACAAGTGGGCGGTTTCCTACCCAGAGCTGGGGACAGAAGATAGTGCTGAGAGAACTCGGCATCCTGTGGGAGACCAGGGAACAGAGCCCCCAGACCAGCCAGAGAGACACCCAGCTCTTCCTACAGCGTCTGCTTTCGGCTGGTCCCCTGTGAGCTGCAGTTGCCACGGGAACAACCCAAGTCGGGCAACACGAGAAGCTTCAGGCCGGGAGGCTGGGGACAGCGAGCCCAGCACCAGAGCTGCTGGGGTCTCCTCTGGGGGCTTTCTGAAGCACAGCCAACTTGGTGGGTGCTGCCCGAGGCGGCCTGTCCAGCACCGTGGGCCAAGAGTACCTCATCTGGACAGTAGACCGTGGGATGGTGGGGGAACCACAGGCAGGGACCGGCTGCTGAGGAGGGCGGGTTCTCCCGGGAGGACCGAGCGTGGGAGGCAATGCTGCCATCACCAACCAGGACTGCCCTTCTGGCTGGTCGGTGACTCAGGTCCTGCTGGCAGGTGTGGATGTGCTGAGGCAAGTCTTTCCCTCTCCTCCCGCCCCACCGCCATCCCAGCACCCCTGGTGGCGGCCGAGCTTCCTCTGTGGTCTCCATCTGGAGGTCGGCTACCACGCTTCGGGACAAGGAGTCACTGCTGGCCGCTTCTCAAGCCCTCCCCAGCCCTGCCCCGAGCAGGTCAGAGCCCTCCCAGGTGGCCTGGATGGCCCTGCAGCATCCTGACAAGTGTCTCCTAGGGACAAGTCACCCACATTTGACATCTCCTCTAAGCCTCAGGAATGCCCTGCCGTTTGGGGAGCACAGGCATCATTACCACATTTCAGATGAGGAAACTGAGGCCCACGACCTCACAGCCAGCGTGGCCGAATCTCAAATCAAACCGTGGCCCATGGTCTGGAAGAGGGAGGGCCCTACACTCTGATATACTCGCAGGACCAGGGAGGAGGCAGCTGGCCAGGGCCAGGCTCACTTCATCCATTCCTCTCTCAAGCTGGAGCCTGACGCCTTGGGACTGGGCCACTTTGTCTGTGAGACCTAGGGCAAAGGCCTCTGGAATAAGCAGGCTCTCAGCTCCCGGGGGAGGGGAACTGTGAGGATCAGGACTCCATCGTCGCCTTCAGCCTTGTACATTTCTGCTGGGCCTGCCTTGGCCTTCTCTGAGCAGTGCCTCTGCACTTGAACGTCCCCGAGTTCGGGAATGAGGAGCAGTAATAACTGCCTTGGGTTAGTCCCTTATTATGCTCTAGGCACTATACTAAACTCTTGACATGCGGAATGTCATCGCTCCTGCACACCAAACCTGTGAGCCCGATGTCATTTGCAGAGTTATTGATGAGGACACTGGTCTGAGAGCAGCTGGAACCTTGTCTAAGGTGAGTGGCAGCGCTGGGATGTGAGCTCAGGCCTGCTGGCTCCGAAGTCGGTGCTCTTAATACTGGGACCTAGACTTCATTAAGGACCCTGCCACAGACGGGAAATGAAGGCTGCCCTGAGAGTGCCTCCAGGTGCCCAACACAGCTCCCATCCTCTCCTGCCCTGTGGCCCCAGGGCTGTCCTCCCCCGTCCCTCCCTCTCTACCCCAGAATCTCCAGGAGTAACCTGGAGTGGTGGCGTTTAAGTACTTCCCTTTGCCATGCTGTCTGCAGGCTGTGTGTTTGCCAAGGCTGCATCTGCAGCAACTCCCGTTTCCATGAGGCTGGCAGGGAGTGCCAGCTCTGCACGGGCACAATCAACATGCCTGCTCCAGGCCAGCCCCATACCCACCAAGCACTGCTGGCATGGTATCGCATGAGCCCAGGCAGAGGTGAACTCTCGGCTGCCCCGCCTGGGCCGGCCTGGCTGAGCCCTCTGAACCCCCAGGTGTGGGGCGGGGACCTGTGAGACAGATGCTCTGGGAAGGAGCCTGCCTGTTAGTCCTGCGGTCTGAAGGAGGATGGGCCCCACGAGGGGGCCACACTGGGAACCCCTGGTGGGAGAGGGAGGCAGGTCTGGAGTGGGGACAATTCATGCCCATTTTACAGAAGGGAGAGAGGATCAGACACAAAAGGGGAAGTGGGGAAGAGTAAGAAGAAAACCGGACTCCGGTGGGGGCGGGGCTTTGTGGATGGCCCCCCCCCCCCCCCCCCCTCACGATGAGGCAAATGCAGCCACAGCTGGGTTGTTGTTCGGTCCTTTTTGCAGATGACTCTGCCGCTGGGGCTGATGCTCCCCCTCTTCTCAGACCGCTCGCTTTACAGCCTCGGGATCAGCTGAGAATGCCTCCCTCCCCCTCCCCCCGCCCTTTCAGTGTGGACTGGGGCTGGCAGTGACATTTAAAAGCCAATGCAGGGAAGGCACCTGACCCTGGGGAGGAATGTGGGAAATGTCTACAGCCTGGAGCAGCCACCCCCCACCTGGGGCCCAGGAATGTGGGCTCCCAGCCCGACAGCCCGCGGCCCCCAAGGGGAGTGTGTGCATGTGGTTGGGAGGGAAGGAGGGTGCGGGGCCCGGAGTGACGCTGCTGAAAGGCCTCGTAAGGTCACCTGGTCAGACTCCTCCATGGTTATACAGGGCAAAGATGCACTGCCAATGCCGCCCTCCTCATGGTGGGCCACGCAGCAACCTCTCTGATCCAGTTAGGGCACAGGCTCTGACTCCCGGAGCCCCCTCACGCCCTAGGCCACGGATATAGCTCCAACTTTTGACTCCTCAGACCTCCAGAACCACAGTGTCAGAGTCCTTTGCAATTAACCATTACCACATCCCATCCCAAACTACAGATGTGGACATAGAGTGCAAGAGAAGAGATGGGAGTTGGCCACCAGGGCACTAATTACAGGCCAGGACTCTGGGGGAGGTGCTTTTCCCACACCCCTCCTGCTTCCATGATGCTGGAAGCCAGCATCTCCTCCTTCTCCCATTAGGAAACTCAGGTGTCCACCCCACAAGCTTCCCGCATGGTTCGTGTGGGAATCCAGAGCCTTCTGTGCCCTTTACTGCCAGGGGTGGGAGCTACAGCCACAGAGCAGACCCTGAGGGCCTGGCCTCTATGCTCAAGGCCATGCGCCAGCTCCTGGAGAGCAGAGGATCTGTGCTTTGGCTGGACAGCACTGACAAGGCCAGGCGAACTCCAACAGATGCCCCTCTTTGGGACCGAACCTGGAGAAAGGGTGGAGTAAGGACTCTGCTGCCCTCTCGTGGCCACACCTGGGCAAGACTGCTGTCGTTCAGTTCTCCCACTGCTTGTCTTCTCTAAGCTGTGTAATCCACTCCCAATCCCCCTCCTCCTGGAAAGCTCAGGAGGGCTGGCCGGGGGCGGGGGGGGGGGGGGGGGGGGGCGTCTCACCTCCCATCACCTAGGACAGAGCTTTGGCTGCACAAAGTGGGACTGGGGAGGGTGGATGATGCCTCGTTCAATGCTGGATCCTGGAAGGAGGCCAACAGGTGAGGCCAGTCTGTATTACCAGAATGACTGGGCGTGGGGAAACGCTTGGTGGTTTCCATGGAGACAGCCTAATCAACCGGCACTCGACAGAATATAAAATTGAGAGGATATTTATTTCTCGGGAAGGTCCACGACAGCTGGCAGGCACTGCCCTCCCCCTGCTCTGGGGGAGTCTTCTCTCCTTTTCTGAGAAGACCCCTCTCTTCTTGGAAGTGCCCATGGGAGGCGGGGATGTGAACAGAAGCCATACACAACACTCCAGAGCCATAAAAAAATAAAGCAACAAACAGCCTCCTCCACACAAACACACACACACAAAATAAACAGACGTATAAAAGAGAGGCTTTGCCCGCCCATCTTGGTCGAAGGGCCGCTCTGGGAGAGCAGGGCTGGGTGGCTTTGCCCCACTTCTCCCAGCCAGAGGCTAAATGGCGTGGAAGCGCCCGACAGCCAAGAATAAGCCCTGGCTTCAGAGAGAGGAGGGGGCGGGACCCTCCCTGGAGCTCAGTTGGGATAAGGTACAAAGGAACAAATAAATAAATAAATAGAACCCACTGCTCCCAGAGGCCTAAGGGCTTAGGCTGAGGCTGGGGCCCCTGGGGCCCGTTTCCCTGAAAAGAGCAGATCCAGTGACACGCAGAAAGAACAAGAGGGAAAACACGAGTCCAAAGCCCCAGCCGCTGGTCTCCAGAGCCTGCACCCTTCAGATCTCAGAAGGGCCCAGGCCAGAACGCCTCAAGCCAGCTCTGGAGGAAGGAGGGGTGGGCCGAGCTGCAATCTGGTCCAGCAGTACCTGAAGGCTGGGGAGCCCCTCCCTTCTCTTCCCTGCGCTCCATGGCCAGCAGAGCCCCCCTCACTCTCCTGCCTCCTTCCCGTGGCCACCTCTGGCAAGGGCTCTTTCCAAGGAAAGCTAAGGCGCAGCCCCTCCCCTGCTTCTGTTCTCATTGGCCTTCTGCCCCCGGCATCGAGTCAGCTGGGAGAAGTCCCTGTGAGACCGTAAATAATCAAAGCAGTCCATCTTGGTGTCCTCCTCTGTTCCATTTTGCCACAGACAGCCCCATCGCCTCCGGCCAGGACCACACACGAGGCTCCCTTCAGGCCAACAGGGAGAAGGCATCAGACAGAAGCAAGAACAGACAGGGGGCAGGAGCTGCTGGAATGGACACTGTGAGCAGGAGGCCAAACCGGACACACGAAGAAGTCCAAGGGAGTCGCGTCCCGGAGCCCTCCGGGAGACACGTGGCCAGCCGGGGCTGCGGAGAGCACAGGGCAGGGACAGGCTGGCCACTCAGCTGGGCAGCAGCACGTGCTCCAGGAGGTAGGTGAGGGAGTCCCAGTGCTTCCAGAGGAGGAGGAGGACAAGGACCAGGAGGGCGGTGCTGGTGATGCGAAGGCGCGTCTTCATGAGGGGCGTGATGAAGTTGGCGATGGTGGACACGAACACCAGCAGCACGGCCATGAGCGCCAGGATCACGTTGATGAACTTGCCCAGCAGCGCCCGCGCGTTGGCGTTCTCTACGCCCTCCAGCTGTACCACCTGCTGCTGCTGCTGCTGCAGCTCCAGCTTGGTGACCCGGGTCAGGCAGGACTCCACGGCCTCCTGCAGGGGCAGAGGGGTGGGTAAGACCCCCAGGCTGACTCCAGCTGCCCCTCAGAGAGAGCGACAATGCACAGCTTGCCCCCTCCAAAGGCTGGGCAGGGTACAGGCTGGTCAGGTGCCGCTGGAGTCAGAGTCCTTTAGTTAGGACTCTTTGGGGAGGATGGTAGGAAACGGGAGTCTTGATTCATGTGGGAAGGGGAGGAGCGGGCTCAGTCCCAGCTTCCTCTTGAGGCAGTCTAGAGCCTGGAAGTTCCGATTAGTCACCGGCAAGGCCGCCACCCAAGGGCTGGGGGCACGCACGGCTCTGGCCAGAGGGCGTGTTTGCACAGCGCGCACAGTCTGCCCCAGTCTTATCGCCCTCACGCTTGTGCCCATCTGCCCCGCCCACAGAACAGCCTGTGTCCCTCACCCCACTTGGTGAACCCTCACCCTCCGGCTGCTGCCAGCTCTGCCGGCAGGTGGGGCCCCGGCTCAGCCCTGGTCGTACCTGGATGTCCCGGGCTCTCTCGTAGGACTGGTACGCCACCTTCTCCTCCATGCTGGCCAGCTCCTGCTTTAGGTTGCTCATCTCGTTCTGGTGCAGCTCAGTCAGGTCATTGAGCTGCTCCTCCAGCCGCTCGTACCTGGCAGGAGGAGAAGGTGGGACCGGGCCTGGCTCCCCGAGCCGCCTCTCCCTCCCAGGGCCAACTTCATGCACTCTCAGCAGTGACTCAACCACCCCACGTGTTCAGCCCTGTTCCAGTTTTCACGGCAATACTGAAAGCTACTATTTCCACAGCACTTCTCATGGGCAGGCACTGTGCCCAGCACTTGATGCTCATTATCTCATGGGACCCTCACCACAGCCCCATGAGATAAGGAGGCGTGTCATCCCCATTTTACAGATGAGACTGAGTCTAGAGACATTCAGGAACTTGCCTAAGATCACACAGCTCATGACCGAGGGGTCAGGGGTTGACTGACTTCAACCTGGGCCTTGAGCCCTGGGCTAAGATGCTTCCCTGGGTACCAGGGACACAGGGTTATGGAGACACAATCCCTGTTCTGAAGGCACAAAATATCAAGATAACTATTATGTTGCCAGAGTTAGTTTTCAGGCAGAGATCCACCTCAATTTTCCAAACTTTCTTCATATATATAAAGAAGAAAAAGAAAAAGTGCTAACTAAGGAAAAAATCCCCAAGAATCCCAGGGAGCAGGTGCCAAAGGCCACGCAAGAGCCCAGAGCGGAAGAGCACAGCGGGCAGAGGGGGAGGACCAGAGATCCAGCTCTACCCCAGAGCAGAAGAGCACAGCAGGCAGAGGGGGAGGACCAGAGACTCCAGCTCCATACCACAGCAGAAGAGCACAGCAGGCAGAGGGGGAGGACCAGAGACTCCAGCTCCATCCCAGAGCAGAAGAGCAGAGCGGGCAGAGGGGAAGGACCAGAGATCCAGCTCTACCCCAGAGCAGAAGAGCACAGCAGGCAGAGGGGGAGGACCAGAGACTCCAGCTCCATACCACAGCAGGCAGAGGGGGAGGACCAGAGATCCAGCTCCATCCCAGAGCAGAAGATCAGAGCGGGCAGAGGGGGAGGACCAGGGCCTCCAGCTCCACCCCAGAGCAGAAGACCAGAGCGCACAGAGAGGAGGACCAGAGACTCCAGCTCCACCCCAGAGCAGAGCGGGCAGAGGGGGAGGACCAGAGACTCCAGCTCCACCCCAGGCTGACTCTAGAGCTTTGAATGGATGTTCAAACTGACCATGCAGCTAGTTACATACTTGGACTTTACAGGTTTAGACTCATTTAATCTTCACAAATGCTATGAGTAGGGATTCCTGTTATTTCTGCTTCACAGATAAGGAAACAGGTCAAGGAGCATTAAGTACTTGGTTCAAGGTAAATAGTGAATAGTGGTGCTGGGATTTGAACCCAGGTCACCTGGCTCCAGAGTCAGTGCTTTAACCAGAGTCTGCAGATGAGAGGCCATGCCGCTGGTCCCCACCCCAGTTTCCCCTTCTGGATTCTGACCACATAACCATCAAGCAGGGATGCTCAAAGCTCCTGAGACAGGCAGGGCCTTCCTTCCATTGGTCCCACAGTCCTCTCTCCCAGATGCTCTGAGCAGTCTGGAGGGAGGCTTCTCAGGGCCTCACCGGCCCCTTCCCGCAGCCGGGACCCTTCCCCATGCTCCTCCACCTGCCTCCACAGCGAGTCTGCAAGCTGGTGGCAGCGCGGGAGGCGGCACCCACCTGTAGCGCTCCTCCTGCAGGCACTGGGTCATGTAGGCGTAGTCCCTCTGCAGCTGAGCCTTCACGCCCTCCAGCGAGTCCTCCAGGTGGGACTGGCCCTCCTTGATCTCCCGCAGCTCTTCCAGCAGAGTGTCCAGGTTGCCAGAGGCCCCATACAGCGTGTTCGACTTGGGGCTCCCCAGCGCCCCGGCGGGCCCCGCCCCAGAGTTGCTGCCCGCCCCGGCCGAGCTGGCGCTGGCGCTGGAGCACTCGTCATCGCTGCCATACTTGGGGCTGGACACGAGCGTGGCGCTGCCGCTCAGCGCCCGGGCCGCCTCCTCGGGGGGCCCATCCTCCAGGGGGTCCTTCAGGTGGGCAATGTTGTCGGCGCTGCCAAACTTGTTGCGGATGAGGCTGGCGAACTCCCGGGGTTTGGACACCACGGCGGTGTGGGTGGCCTGCGAGAGGCCTGAGAGGCTGCCCTTGACGCCCTCCACCACGCCGCCCCCAAAGCCACTGATGCCCGCGCGCATGTTGGCGCCCACATCCTTCAGCCCCTGCTGCATGTCCCGCAGCACGTCCTTGGGCTGCCGCGAGGGCCCGTTCTGCTCGATCTCCTTCAGGCGCCGGCGGTAGTGCTCCAGCTTCTTGTGCAGCTGGGCGATGGTCTGGGCGGACTTCTGGTTCTTCTTCTCGAACACCTGCTTGATGCGCGACACCTGCTGCCTGTCGGCGTTGTTGGCCAGCTTCAGGTACTCCGCCACGTTGTCATCCCGCGCCTCCTGCTCGATCTTGATCTGCTCCGTGATCTTCAGGATCTTCTGGTGCAGGTGGTCGATGGCGGCCTTGGTCCGCTGGGGGTCCGGGGCCCCGTCCGGCACATCCAGGCTGATGGGGCCATCGGTGTCACCATGGCTGGGGCCACCAGGGAGGCTCAGGGCCACAAGGTCTCCCTTGTCGACCTGGGGAAGAATGCAAGCAGAGGAAGCTGGGTAAAGCATGGACATGGGAGAGGACACGGCAGGATTCTCTCCTGTGTCCCTGGACACTCTGACTTGGTCTCTCTGCCTGGAAAACGGATGCAGGATGGCTAGGGAACTTCAGGAAAAGTGTCCAAAAGCATGACAAGTGTCCCTTAGAGCTGCACTGGTAGAGGACTCTCACATCTGCTATCCACCCCATCCCACCACACCCCTAAAACACAGCCTAGGCAGATCTGCTCTCAGCAGAGCTACATGGTTGACTTCTCAGGGATGAGACAGGGTCCCTCTGGACGCTGCCTCCCCATAAGGCTCCTGCCTTGCGAGGCCTCTCCCTCAGAGCTGACTGAAGCCTACGCTTCGGCCCCGCGCAGCCGCAGGAAGCCCTGCCCTCCCACCCTGGCTTCCCTAGCACAATTCAGCAGGTCACCCCTCTCACACTGTCCCAGCCCCTCCGTTACCTTCCAGCTCTCTGGAGTCATCAGCAACCTCTTCCGCCTCATGATGGTGGGAGCACCCGGCCCTGCCCAGTCTCCCAGAACCAAGAGGAGCACCCGCCCTGCTGGCCAGGTCCCCCAGGACTCAGTTCCAGAAGTGACCCACAGGCCAGGAGAAGCAGGGACCAGTCTGGGGGCCTGAGGGTACGAGCCGCCCAGCTTGGAAGGGGGTGAATGCACAGGAAGGAGAGGACAGCCCCTTCCTCGCTGGCAGGCGGGCAGGCTGGCTTCCCCAGCACATGAGGGTGGCACAAAGGAAAGAGAAGAGAGACTGAGAAAGGATGGGGGGAGGGAGAGAAAGGAAGGAAAGGTCACAGAAAGATAGGAAAGATGGGAAATGCAGGGCAGATGAAAGCGGGCGGGCCAGGAGCCCCGCTCTGCCAGGGCCGGTCCCCTCAGCCTGCGGGAGGATCTCTGTCCACAGCTGAGTCCCAAGTGTCTTATCGTCATGCAACAACGGAAGCAGCAGGAAATGGCTCAACCCCACATATTTTTACACACAGCACACCCCAGTGCGGCCGGGCCAGACCACTCACTCTCTATATGTATGGGTGGTGGTGGGGGGGGGGGTCTGAGGTGTATGTCGGGGAAGGGGTTAAAAACAAAGGCGGTGGCCCAGTCACATGCAGCGGAACCAGAAACGGCCCATGCCAATTACAGGCAGAAGTCACTGGGCTTGATTTCTGCCAAGGTGCAAAGTTACTAGAAAACATTATTCAAGGCAACAGCCCTGCCAAACTCAGGAGCCAGCGGAGGGCGGCTCCTCTGTGGGCTTCCTCTGGGGTCTTTCCAGGTCACGGCTCCCCGGGGATGCTGGGGACGCCGCCAATCCCTTCCTCATCACTCTTGAAATCAGGACTTTCCTCTAACATTTGCTTTGCGTCTCCCCTCTGTCCCCTAGTCCTCCCGTCAGGCGCTCATCCCTTCAGGACCCTGCTCCCCTGAATTCCTGACCTTGCGTACCCCAGAAGCCCAGCCACAGTCTCCCTTAAATGATCTGTCTCAAGGTCTAGTTGTCACATCAGTCTGACTTAAAACCCCGTCGTGCGGTTCAACGCCATCCTGGGCTGTTGCCTGCAGCGACGGCAAACAGCCTCTCTCAACTTTCCTGACCGGGAGGCCCCCTGAAAAATGAGGACAGTCATATCTGCCCTCAGGTCTTCAGTGAAGGTCCCACAAGCCAAGTCCAGCAGGCACTGAGCTCTGCGCAGGGCGTTCGGAAGGCGCTCACACAAGCTGTCGGGGCCTAGGCAGCACAGGTCTTTTTCGAAGGGGAAGAAAATGAAGTTTATTTAAGAGATTATACCAACAAATTTACTCAATATTGATACTACCATATAGATATTGAACCACACAAAATTAAGTTCTGTGTGCAACACGTGGCTTTTAATATTAAAGAGCTCGACCCTCTTCTAAGGCCACTATCCTTTCCAAAGAGGCTCAACTCTCCTTCCTTCTCTTCCACTCTCTTCGTGGGGGGAAGCAGGTCCAGAAAAGGACTTTCGGGTCTGGCTGCATCACTGCTGGATGCTCAGCGCTGGGCGGTTTGCATCTTCACAATGAGGACAGCATCTGCCCAGCGACTCAGAGGCCTGCGGGAGGAGCTAATGAGACACGGATGTGAAAAGCGCTGTGAAAAGCATTTTTAAAAAGTGCTTCAGTACGATGAGGGGCTGTAGAACAGCAAATTCCCGGCCCATCATGGCTCTGCCCTGGCCGCCTAGAGTCTTTCCGCCCTCGATTTGGCAGCTGTCTAGCTACAAATGGAAAAGCAGAGCGGAAGCTGGCTGTGAGATTCCCCACGAATGAGAGGAGAACAGACGCCCCGGGAACACCAGCTGGGGCTGATGGTGAGCTGGAGTGGCCCCATAGGGGTCCTGGCACCCTCGCCTGCTCCTCTTCTCTGCCCTGGGCTCAGACTTGAGCCCGGGGTCCTGCAGCAGGACACCGGCTCCCTCCTGCCCCTCCACTGAGGTTGACCACACGGGATCCTGCCGGTCATCCCCAGTCGCAGACAACCCACTTTGTTCTCCTCCCCACAGAGGAGGGCGGGGAGTTCTCCACGCCTTCCCTCTCCAGACAAACACCCCATGGCAGCAGTGCCCCTCAGCACTTGGGAGGGGACAGGGGACCGAGGGAAAGAGAGCCAAGGAGGTGGCAGGCAGACAGGCAGAGGTGTGAAGAGGGCTGATGCTCAACAAGGGAAGGAAGACTAGAACATTAGAGGAGAAAGCTTTACGAGGGACGGGACAGGCAGAGCACGAGGAGGGAGCGATTTGCCAAAAGAGAGAACCGTAGCACTGAGACAGGGTACAGGCCAGCCAGGACAACGGGAAGGACACCGACTGTGGTCAGATGCCGATTCAGAACCCTGGCCCTGTCACTCACCAGCTGTGTGCTCTTGGATTCGTCATTAACTTTTCCGGAACTCAGCTTTCTCATCTAGAAAAGGGGTGCAATTCTACCTACCTCAAAGAGTTGGAGGAGGATGAAACGAGACGCCGTGAGTGAAGCCAACAATGTCAGTACAGTCTCAGAGCATACAGCAGGGGCTCAAAACAAATAAAAACACTTAACCCCCAAGAGGGACCACACCCACTAGGAGGGATCTAATTTTAAAAAAGAAAATAGCAAGTGTTGGCGAGGATGTGGAGAAATTAGAACCCTCAAACCTTGCTGGTGGGCATGTAAAATGGAGCAGCTGCTGTGGAAAACAGCTTGGGGGTTCCTCAAAAAGTTACACACAGAATTACCGTGTGACCCAGCAGTTCCACTCCTAGGTATATATACTCAAGAGAACTGAAAATGGGTATTCAAACAAATCCTTGTCCGCAGTTGTTCACAGCAGCGCTAGTCACAATAGCCAAAGGGGGGACACAACTCAAATGCCCACTGATCAGTGAATGGGTATACAAAATCGGTATATCCATGCAATGGCATATTATTCGGCCATAAAAGGAACGAAGTACCGATATATATAGGACATTACACTAAGTGAAAGAAACGAGACACAAAGGTCACATGCTCAATGATTCCATTTATAAGAAATGTCCAGAATGGTTAAATCCATAGAGACAGAAGGCAGATTAGTGGTTGCCAGGGACTGGGGAAGGGAGAAATGGGGAGTGACTGCTTAATGGGTACGGATTTCCTGTGGGGGTGATGAAATGTCCTGGAGCTAGACAGAGGTGATGGTTGCACAACCTGGTATGGACGGCCAGGGTCCTCCAACCTGCTGGCCTGGGCTGCGGCTCCAGCCAACATCCTGTTACCGAGTGGGTCTGCAGGAGGGTGTCTGTGTCCTCCATCTCAGTCTCATTTTCAACAGAGCAGAAGCTCTTCCTAACTCCTCCCAACCCTTGTCCTGGGGCTGGACGACTGAAAAGGACAATACACATCACTCAACTCCCGGTTACTAGCGGGCAGCCAGAGCACGGCAGCGAGTGGGCCACACATGCACACTGCTCCTCTCCCGAAAGTGTCACAGAGCCCCACGTGGCCCAGGCCACCCAGCCCTCTGTCCACGCCCAGCCGCCAGCACCACGGCTCCTCACCCCACAGATGTCTGGCCTCAGGATTAGCCTCCATGCACAGGCTGGGCAATTCTGAGAAGAGGACTATGGAGAGTGGCCAGGCTTCTTCCACAATTAGGGAGGCCGTGTGGTGCTCTCTGCTTAGGGTGCCCACCATCCAGGCCAAGGCCACAGACCTGGTTCTACACAGAGGCTGAGCTCTGGGAAGTGCTGATGAATGTTCTGGAAAAGCCAGAGCTGGGATGTTGTCTGAAGGGTCCGGGCCCACCTCTCCCTATCCCTCGTCCTACTCCGGTGCTCACATACCTGGGAGCACCCGGCACACGGCCTCATAGCGTCACAGACTCTCCTCCCTGCCCCCCTTCAGCAGCTCTAAGTGAAGCCAGATTAGGCGCTCTGCCAGATTACAGAAGCTCCCAGCCCGGCTCCCGTGGCCTCCCACCTCCTCCGGGCCTGAGCTCACACCCTCGTGTTAATCTAGCCCCGGACACGTGATAACAAGTCCTCCTCTCACACACTAGCCCAGCAGCCTGGACGCCGAGGCTGGGGGCACACAGCAGACTGCGGGGTCAGGCTCACGGGAAGCCTGTGGGGAGGGAAGGGTACTGGTGATGTGAAACGTGAATTGTGGTTCTACTTCCTCAGCAACAGTACAAATACATCAGTCATTCTTCAAGACGGACCATATCAACAGTGACCACCTGGAAGGAGCATGTGCTCCACACTTGTGCCTCCAGCTTCCCAAGAGGCTGCAGAGGGCTCCCAGCCTGACTCCCCAGCCTCGGGCATGAGCAGCCCTTCCCAGATTTACCAAGTGCTCCTGTTAGGGTCCCCAGAGCAGGCTGACACAGAGGATGGGGCCGTTCCATCTTAACCATCTGCTTACGGGTTGGAAAGCCAACACTAAGGTCCTCTTAGACATACACACCAAAAAAAAGGAAGAAAAAGAGCTTTGGGGCTCCTACACTTCCCTTCAGGAGAGCAGGGCAGCCCCGTCACCCTGGGATCCCCCCGGGGGGAGGAACAATGGAGTTAGGTGTCAGCCCTGCCTTGTTGGTGGGTCGAGCTCCATGCAGCATGCTGCCCTGGGCAGGGCCTGGGCTGCCAGTGGCCAGGAGCCCAGCAGGTGAGCATGACAGGGGCTGTCAGGCCCAGGTGACTCAGCAGAGATGGTTCCATCTGCTGACTTCTGGCCCTGTGACTCTGATTTGAGCATCCCTCTCGGGATGGAGAACCCTGAGATTCCCTTTTTCTCCTACTTCCCAGAGGGAAAAGGAGGTATGGAGAGGAACATTCATGGCTAGCTAAAGTCCTTCAGTCCAAAAAGGCAGTTTGACCTTACGGGGAAGCTGGGAGGGAAGGAACCTGACGTCTCCCACACCAATCTGATGTTCTAGCCAGAGCTGGGAAAATTATCTCAACCTTCGGTCCTGGAGTCAGGGGCTGCCCCCATTCTCCCAAAGCAGCAAGCACAGCCTGCTGGGCTGTTGTCTCCTTCTCTTCCTGGAGGGGACACGTGGGAATATGGTTGCTCAGCCCCAGCTCTGGATGCACCAGCACAACTGACCCAGCACTCCAGGTGGGGAAAGGCCTGGGGGCGGGGAACGGGGGAGGCACAGCCCACCCAGTGGTTCCTCTGGTGCCTGGGTGCCTAAGCGGCTTTTCTCCAGAGGGCAGGGAGGTGAATGCTTCCGGGTACACGTGGAGCAGCATGTGCATTCACCTGGGTCTGTTCAGGGGGTGGTGCAGGTGAAAAACCCCTGCAGCAAGGCCCCAGCCATCAACCAGGGGATCCGAGGGGCAGGCGCCCAGGGGACCTGCTCTCCCTGTAGTGCCCCTTTCCTCGTGGCAGGGCACACCATCCACGGCTCTACAAGGAATCTCATGCTGCTGCAAGGGACCTCAGGTGCAAGGGACAAACAGACGGGTAGACGCACCCCCTTCATGTTTGCACGTAGCACCTATGATCTCAAGGCGGGGCAGAGGCTGCCCTCAGCCTCCTCCCACCCGACCCTAAGGGCTACTCCCCCTTCCTAGCACAGCCCCTCTCCTCTCAGCTGGCCCTGGCTTCCGGTCCTTTCTGTTAGGTCCACCCCTTGGTTCTGGTCAAAACCACACCCTCCCCGCAGTCACCTCATCCCCTGCCCCGCTGAGAACAATGCCTTCTTGTTCACACACATGTCCTGTACTCTCCTCTGCCTCCTCACACTGAGAGACCCCTGGGTGGGCCCCTGGAGCTGCCCTCCCACCTTGAGGCCTCTTCCCACCTTGGGGCCTCCCCTGTCTCCATCCTCCAAATTCTCCAAAAGCCCCGTGTGCCCAACACTTTGCTCCTTCCGGACTCTTCTACTGTCCACCCGGGCTCAGGGCTCACTGGACCGTCACCTCCTCTGCCCCGTCACTGTTTCTCTGTAGACAGAAGCGACCACAACCAGGAGCACCCTTCCACTTAATTCCATATCAGCTCCTCTGGCCACAGGCGGAGGAATACATGGCCACTGGTTTCTGGAGGCATCCATGCCAGGGTTCACCTGTCCTCCTGGCACAAGTCCCCCTCACTCGACCCCAGGGCCCTCCCAGCACCGGTCAGCCTAAGGCTGGAGGTGTGGTGCTTACCTCCTCCACCCTTCTCCATCCACAGAGCTCTCTGTAATGGAGAGGAGAGGAGGCCACATCCCGAGAGACCAGAGGATAGCACAACCGGCCTGACAAACTGCAGAAATGGCTTTCTCCCATCCCACAGGCCCACTCCTGTCCCTGTCCCTGTCCCGTGAGCTTTTCTCCTTCTACCTCACCTGTGTGGGCAGTGTCTCCCAAAGCCGTGCTGGCGAAGGGGTGCCAGGGGCTCTGAGGCTCCAGCTTTCTGTGGGCTGTGCCGGGCCCCCAGGGTCACAGTCCCTGGGCAGCACTGAGCTTGCCAAGGGGAGCCGGGGTCTGCGAGCAGGTGTGCCCAAGCTCCCAGGCTCGGCAGCCGCCATCTCCGGTCTGAAGCCTGGCCCAGGGATTAGGGACGGATTGCTCTGGGAGATTTCCCCCTCCCCTGGGCTCATGGGCTGCTCCTTCTGGGAGGGGAAAGGGAAGACATGGAGCGGGCTGACCACAGTCTGATGAGGTGCCCCCCAACCCTGCCCTGCCTGTCCCCAAGTCTAGCTGTTGCCACCGTGGGTTCAGTGTGCATGAAGACACCCAGGTGTGACAGGCAGCAACTGCAGCCCGGGGCGGGGGGTGAGGGGGCACACGGGGACATGTGTGCCTGCATCGTTCACTCACCCAGATGGGTGCTCTGCCCCACCACACACGCCCAGGATGCCTCCCCCTCACAAACAGAAGCACAGTCCATCCACAACCTTCCTCAGCCTCAGAATGGAAGTGGGCCTCCTAGCCAGCCTCAGGATGGAGAGGAGCCCAGGCCAAAAGGGCCGGAGCCTGGCGGGAGTCCTTGCTGCTCACGGCACAGGCAGCTCGCCCGAGTCCTCTCCTCTCTCCCTGCTGCCCTGCCCGCTGGCTAAGGCACCATCACTTCCAAGACAGCCTCCCTACTCCAGTTCCCGCCCGGAGGAATCAGACCGCAGCCAGCCTCACCCGGGGAATTCCTCTGCTCCGAGATCCTCTCCTAGAAATCCGCTCTCTGCTCTGGACACCACTGCAGCTACCTCTCCGCTAGCCTCTGCTTCCCATTTCCCGCTCTCCCCATTTCCCCCCAGGCCTGAGCAGGCAAAACACCCAGGACCAAACGTGGATGGCAACTCACAGCGGTCTCCTCCTCCTTGGGCTTCATCTTGACAGTCCCAGCAGGAAATCCTGTGAGTGGCCAGCAGAGGGGGCCAGAAGTCCACAGTTGAGGAGATCAAGCTGTGAGGAGGGTGGTGGGGTGCCCAGCAGCGTTCAGGAGTCTACTAGGTCTCTCTAAGGGCAGCTTCCCATGGCAGAATCACCAAAGACGACACAGATCCTGTACCCACTTGAGCCTGGAGAGGGACTGAGGGCTTAAATACTGAGGGTCAACATGAATCATGCTGATGGGGCGGTCCCAAGTTCAAGGAGGTGCGAGGAGATAAGAAGAGGCCAGCGCTATCTCGGGGGCCTGACACCGGCCTGTAGCGAAAACACCAGGAGCCGGAGTCCCACACCTGGGGCTCTGGCTCCGAAAACCTTACAAACATTTGTGGTGGCCAATGACTCGGGGTTTGGAGCCCAGCCAAAGCGCATTACACAGGTCCCAGTTTCTGGGGCAGCTCTGACGTGCAGTCAGGGACATGTGGGGTCAGGGAAGGCTTCGGCAGCTCCATATGTCTGCAAATGATCTCCCCCTACAGTCCTCGGTTCTGACTTGATGTTTTGGTACCGCTCTTCTTGTGTAATGGTTCTGTGCACACAGGCCTCAGGTCTTACTGCCCCCGGGGAGGTAGGGCTCAGATCTTAAACGCATTCAGCCCCTTCCCTGCGCCTAGCATGAGCCTGACCCTCCCTCAACATTCCCGTCTGTAAAATGACCCAACGACCATCTCATTGAGCTGCAACGAAAGACGGTCCAGCTACTGCAGTTCTGTCCCAGGCAGCAATGGAGACAGCTTGGTCTTCTCACACTCAAGACACCCCTCCCCTGTCCCTCATTTCTAGGCTCCACCAAGCCAAGATTTGCAACCTTTCCTTACCAGCTAAAAAGGAGGAGAAGGGAAAGGAGAAGGCAGTGGCAGCAGGAGACTAGAGGGAGGGGGCTGGGTAAGCTGAGCCCTGGGTTTCTCTCTGCATGAGGAATCTCTCCCCAGGCTGCCTGGGATCATGAAGGCTCAGAAGTACCAGAAAGAAGGTCCTGCAAGGCCACACAGCACCACCACAGACCCTGAGGAGAGTCGCCCTACATGGCATCTGGCATCTCCCTAAGGGGAGGGCTCAGCCCCTCCAGGCACAACTTGCCCAGCAGCACAGTAACGGAGCAGCGGAGAAGGGAGGTGGAGCTCAGGGGAGAACCAACAGTCTGCTAAGAGGGACGAGGGGGTGTCTGCCAGCAGAACGGAGAGCCCTTTTCCTCCAGAGTCTGCTCCCAAATCTCCCAAGGACACAGGGCTTCCTGTGTAGGGGTGGGGAACAGAGCCCGAGGCATCCTGACACGGTGGGAAAGGGACTTCAGCCCTGGGCTTGGGTCTCAGTTCTGTTGTTGCTACGAGACCCTGGTCGAGTCAGCAGAGGCTCTGAGACTCAGCATCCGTGACTGCAATGGGAGGAGTGTGTGAGGAGTGAGGGGTGGGAGAGCCCTGGTAGAAGGCAGGCGGGTTTGTCGCAGGCAGACGTGCCAAGGCCGGCTCCGTGGGCGCTGGCGAAGCCTGCCAGTGGCGCGGCCGCGGGCCTGGCGTCAGAAGGCCGCTGTAAATTCTCACCCTGCCGCTCGCTAGCGCAGCAGCCTCGACAGGCCCTGCCCATGGGCTTCACAACCGCCAGAGGAGGCAGCAGCACCCACAGAGCAGCCTGGAGGAGGAGGCCGCGGGAGCGAGGTCGGTGGCCTCAGGGGCGCAGGAGGGGTGAAGAAGCTGAGCCCTGGAGACCCTCTGCAGCCGAGTCTCAGTTTTCCCAGCTGCAAAAGGGTCCATATGATCATTATCCCCCAGGGCTGCAGTGGAGATAAAACGGGAACATGAGTGAAAACGCCTGACATGTAGATTTTACAGAAAAAGACGACTAGTCCTCAGGCTCCCTCACCACATGTGCAGGTGCACACACACTACAGTCATTCTAGAAGGTACCTGGAAGACTTTGCTGGAACAGAAAAAGCCAGGAAAGCAGTGGCCACAGGAGCAAAGTTGAAAGAGTGGCAGTGGACATGGGCAGAGCCGCATGGGCACTGAGGCAAAGGACACGAGCCACAGAGCAACTTTCCTGTTGCAAAGAGAAAGCGCTGTTGGGCCGGTGCCACGGCGCGTGCTCCCTGCTAAGTCCTGGCCGGCTGGCCCTCTCTGGCGCAGCAGAGACGCAGGCCCCGCCAGCCACCAGGGTGGGCGTCGCCATCGATTCGCAGGCTCCGGTGGGTGCGCAGTGCCAGGGGGCTCTGGCCTCACTCTTTCCAGTTTTCCAGGGTGGCCTGAACCCAGGGGCAACGGACAGGCTCTTGTTGTCCCGGAAGGCAACACTGTAAGGACGCCCAGGCCCCAGCGCGAGGCTCCCCTCTGCACGTCCAGCGGCACTCGGCCCCTCTCTCACTGGGCCTGCCTGGTTTGGTTTTCTCTTCCCTTAACTGCCATGCATGTCCCTTCTTCCTTTAATACTCTCAATATTTAATTTGTTATCGTCTCTTCCTTTCCCCTGGTTATTGTTCTTCAGTCCCCTCTTTTTTTTTTTTTTTTTTTTTATCATCCTACTTACTTTTTTTTATCTTAGGGGAAAAAAGTACAAACCATACCTTCTGAAGGATGGGAAACTTGAGAAGTCACAGGCTTTAGGAGCAAAGACTAAGCTGAAAAGCAGCTAAATTTAGCAGCTGAGAATACAAGGTGAGGCCTTAAAAACTCTCAGCCTCCAAACGTGCTCGGAAGGCCTCCCAGTGAGGAGGCCTGCGTGAAAGGCCCCTCTTCTCTGAGGCTCACCTCCAGGAAATGGGGGTGCGCGAAGGGGTCCGTCTTCAGAGGTGCCCTCCCCTACCACTCACTTTTAGGCCCAGCCAGAAGGTGCATTTTCTTAGAAACTCATGTCCCAGAGAGCCCTGCTTGCCCTGGGGAAACGCGGGAGGAAGGTTCCCATTCTTCAGGGTGAACGGGAGCAACTGAGGTAGGCACATTTCCTAGGAGCAGGTGGGGGCGCTGCCACACGAGAAGAAAGGCAGACGGGAAAGGCCAGGGTGGAGAGAGCAGTGGGGGACATCAGCGGGCACACGCCAGGCCGCCTCTCAGCTGCTTCCAGGGAGGGGGGAGGGCATCTCCTCCCCTCACCCTGGTCCTCTGTCCTCTGTCTAAGGCCACGCACACTCCTTGGGGGAGGCCTCCTCAGGCACAGACCCGAGCCAGGTTCCAGAAGGTGGAGAGAACCACTCACCTAGTCACTTTTAGGAAAATCGAAATTGGTGCCAGGCGGGTAGAAGAGATGGACAACTCTGTGCCTCTCATGGCCGCTCTATTTTCCTAGGGGAGAGGACATTGGGGACAGGTCCAGGAGAAAGTGACCCAGAGAGGAAGCAGCGTCTTCTTTTTGGGCAGTTTTTAGCAAGCAGAGCACCCTCCAACCCACCCTATTTGTCAAGAATAATTTAGAACGATTCCTTTCAAAAATCTGAGGATTGAAACACAGAAATCTTGAGGCATCCTGCTGTCAAGGGCTCAGACCTTACCAGAGCTGACGCGATTAAACGAGAAATGTATGTGAAAGCATCCTGCAAGCTGTAGGGTGCCATTCAACTGAGTGCCAATGCCAGGAAAGCTCCAAGGGACATGTCAAAGGGACGTGACCGACAAGGCCTGGGGGCATGTCCATGATGCTGCTGAGCCCCTAAGGAGTCTGTAGACAGGCATGGGGCCCAGATCATATTTGGGTCTGAAGCTGCCTTCTCAGGCAATGAAGAAACCTTATATAATGCAGTTACTATTACATAGCACCTGTCTTTCCAGGGCAGGGTTCACCTTTCCAGCTACCCAAAGGAGGCCTCCTGGTCACAGTATCATTCTGGATCTGATTTAGCTTTGGCTGAGAATGCTGAATTATTCAGTAGATATGAATACTGGCTATCCAGTGGTGGGGTATCTGGAGAGGTGGAAAAGGATGCAGTAAGAACTCCCTAAATCCAGGATTTGGGGAAAGTCAAAGAGACAAACACAGCAGGGGCATCTGAGTCAGCACCTGGAGGATGTGGGGAACAGGGGCCGGGGACCAAGAACAGTTAGACAAGCTGCTTGCAAAACCCCAGCACCTGTCACTGGAGAGGGAAGGGAGGTCAGAGAAGGCTACTGTTCCCAGAGACTTCACTCACTGCCTCCAGCCCCCCACTGCAGGGCAGGAGAGCCCTTGGTTCCCCAGGAACCTAGAAAGAACGCAATGGGGCATGTGCATTCATCATTGCTTCTATTTCAGAGCCCTCCGCCCCATGGGGTATAAACAGAGAAAGCCCAAACTGTGCCTACAAAAAGAAAAAAGAGGCAGAAGCACAGATCAGGTTAATGATACTGTATTTCCATTGCCTCATCTGGCACCAGAGGGGACCAGGGTCACATTTCACATCTCAGGGATGTGTTGGGTCCAGGGAGGAATGTGCCTGGTGGCTGGGGAGACCTGTGCCAGCTCCCATGACCCATTCCCACATATAGCGCCGGCTCCTTGCCGTCTGGAACTGGATGACACAGAGCTCCTCTTGGTGCTGATTGTTATTGGCTCTGGCATGGGGGGCTGACACCCAAACGTTGGCACACCTTCTGCTGAGGTGTCCGAGGGAGCTGAGGCCGAGGCTGAGGACCCTGAGGGAGAAGGCTGGGGACCTGACTGGCATCTCCCGCCTGTGTCTGGGCTGGCATCATCTCAGCGCCTAGGGGCTGCATAGAGCCCCAGAGACTCCCTCAAGGTTGTGGCCCGAGCTTAGAGACCAGCAGATTAAGAATGTACAACATCAGGTCTTGCCAGGAACCTTGGACGCTATCTAACTTCGCCCCTTGCACCTGGGAAAGTCTGTACTCCCAGATGCCAGAGCTAATCTGGAGAGCACTGGGAACTTACTATCTAGAAAGAAAGTCATGGATGTCTGCGGGGAAAACGAATAAAGGCTAACTCTGGAGGCCAGTGGCCTGATGGGGCAGCTAACTGAGCCCACAACTCCACTCTAAAGTCAGGAGGGGGCTGCTGCTTACGGTCTCTGGTGTCAGAGCTTTGGGTAAGGGGCAGAGTCCTCACTTTTTGGCCCCCTCCTGATCAGAGAGGATTCCTAAAAGGCAAGGAGCTTCACCTGAACATGAGGAACTCAAATCAGACTAGAGGAAGAACTTCTTGACTCCCAGGTACCACAAGACACACGGCTATGGCGGGGCCTGAAGGCCCCAGGGCAATAGGGGCTTGGACTGCTGGGACAGGGAGCGAGCGTTCATGGCAACTGCAGAGTCGCCCTGCCTGGGCCTGGCAAGCAGCTAGCAGCATAGGCACAGTCTCGGGAGGCCGTGCGGCTGCCTGCTTCCGGCTCTCCCTCTGCCTGAGGGGCCTTTCCATGCAGAGGAAGAGAGAAGGGAAGACGGGACGAGATGGGTGCAGGAGGGGAACAGAGAAGGCAGCTGTCCCCCCCAGGAACTGGGGGTGCATTCAGACAGGCACAGACCCAAGCGTGTCCAGAGGTGACAGGACAGGCGGAGCATCACACAGCTCTGAAGGTGGATGTATTTGTGTGGACAGACCAGGGGACCCAGCTGGACCCTGGAGCAGAGCCCCTTCGGCCTCCCATGTAACCTGGCCTCCAAGCCCAGACACATCAGGAGGCCCCACAGATGAACTGACTGGCCTCCCCCAGATGCCCAGGGGACACGTGTGAAAACTCTCAACGAGCTGACCCCACCCACCTCTGAACCAGCAGGCTCCCAGACACACATAAACCAGGGCCCCTTGGCGCCAGCCAAGAGCTGTCTTCTTGGCAAGGGCCTGGAGTCAAGAGCGGCCCTCACTCTCACCCCTCGAAGTAAACAGGGGTGCTTATTTACGCAAGGGCAGAGAAGGAATCTTGTTGTTGGATAAATCTGTGGAGGAGTACCGAGGGAAGAGGCTGTCCCAGGTCTGATCTGGTTCAGGTGATGGCAGAACACCACTGCCTTCTCTGTCTGGGGCCTGGAGATAACGCCTCCATGAGGCCACAGGGAAGCATCCAGTCACGGCGTCATCTCTCCACCCTCCCACCACACCCCGCAACACGACTGGAGAGACCTTGGCCCCCTCTCCCACCCTGTGTGCCCTCAAAGCCAGAGAGCAGCAGGCTGGCCTGTCGTCCTGCCGCTGAGCACCTCCGTGCTGGTCTCTGGGGCTGCCAGGTGCCCTCTGTGAGCTCCCGGCTCCCGCCCCACCCTACTCCTGGTCCTCAGAGGGGACCAGCCACACTACATACAGGAGAAGGGGCGGCCAGGGCAAGGCCAGGGGCCAGCCCGGCAGAGCCGGCTATAAAGCCAGCACACTTGCGCCATTCCTCTCCCCAGACCCTCTAGCTGAGTGCACCCTGCACAAACCCAGAAGGGGTGAGAGGAACGTAGGGACAGCTGGAGAGAGGTTTTGAACAGGCTGAGAGGGAAGCAATGACCAAGCTAGACATGGAAGAAATGGCGGAAAGGGGTCCCAGCATGGGACCCCTGCAGGGGCTCAACCACTCCCATAAAGTCTGGGGGCGGGCAACGAAGGCAGGAGGAAGAGTTAGCCCACTTTCCCGAGAGTACACACATTCTAGGAACTGCCGCTCAGCAAAAAAGAGCGTGGAGACCCACATGCCCAGGGACCAGGGAGCCCAACTCCACTGCTCTGCACGTACCACCCGTGGTTCCTGCGGCAGCCTCCAGGGCCCAGGGGTCCCAGAGGTTAAGTCCATACACAGACGGAGAACCCCGACATCGCCTGCATTCTCCATTCACCTACCAACGCCCCAGGGCACCAACGAATGACGACAATTTCTCTCCACTTTATAGACATAAGACGGAGAGAACAGCTACCTTGCTCAGTGTCACACAAATAGTAGAAAGCAGAATGGCGAGTCTGAGACAGCAATTTGTGTTTGTTTTAAAGGGAAATCATTTAAGGCACAACCCCGATGACAGCTAACTGGATCTGGAGGGAACAAATGACAGCCAAACTCCATCACCACGGCTGAGCTGCTTCCTGGGACCAGGAGCCCCTATCTGTCCCTCTGATGCACCCCTACTCTCCTTAGGGTGCCAGGTCCCCTACTTTCTTAGGGTGGGGCTGGGCTGAGCCTCTCTAGGACAGCCCGGGAACTTTAGCTGCCTCCAGGGTGTTTCAGTAACTCAACCCCCACAGGGCCGGCTCTGGTCCGAAAGCCAGCTGGTGAGTTCTAAACAATGGCAAGGGGTGTGGGTGGTGGAGGAGGCTTATGAATTAAAAATAGATGCTAGTAATCACCAGGGAGCTCACAGAGAGCATGTGGGGCCCTGTTTACTAGAGAGAGAAGAATACCGTCTATTCATGCCCAGAGACGGGGGTGGAACCACCACAGCTTCTCACACCAACCACTGGTCTCTGGGTCTGGGGAAGTCAGCTGACAGGGCAGGGCTTCTGACAACTGGAAGACCCCTTTCCTCGGGATGTGGAAGCACCCCTCAAGACCCCCAGGGCCACGTCCGTCCCTGGAGGGACAGCTCCAGGTCCAGAAAGCTGATCACTAAAGGGCAAATGGAAACCAAGAGATGAGCCCCTCCTGGGCTGAGGCATGCCTGCGCCCTGTGGATATTGCCTAAAGCGATCCCCGGGGATTTAGTGCCTGCAGAGCTCAATTTGGTCTTGTGGACACGCTGGAAACACGGGGTCCGGTCTCTTCTCTGCCAAGAACTAGCTGGGTGCCCTCAAGCAAGCAGCCTCTGATTGCTCCAGGCCTCAGTCTACTCATCTGTAAAACAGAGACAATAACACCTACCCTGGCAACTCCACAGGGGCGTTGTTAAGATTAACCAGGCAATATATAAGACAAAGCTTTGGAAAGCTGAAAGTTTTAAATAAGGATGGAAAACAGTCATAGCAACAACCATTTCCCCCATTACCACCTTGAACCCAGGCAACCGGCCCCCTAGTCAGCTCACTCAAGAGTCTCCAGGCCTGGCCTTCCACTGCAGCAAGAAGAGAACCCTGCTTCCCTCCGGATATCTCAGGGTAGTGTGAAGAGCAAACACAGCCACGTGGAGAAGCCTCCTGGAGAAGCTCCCTGGCTTACACCCTGCCCCGCACCCCGGCCGACCCCGGCCCCCGCATCCCCAGTCAGCAAACATCAGCAACCCTTTGCCAGCTTCCTCCGGTGCCCACTGCCCACCCACTCCGTCTGCTCAGGCAGCTGGAGACTACAAGGTTCACGTTCTCCCTCCCCGTAAAATAGCTGTAGTACCAGAGACCCTTGCTTGGCAGGATTTTTCTAATTCCATTTTAAAATGTATTCACTGCCTCAGCAGTGAGAGGTGGGCCTGGCAGCAGTTGCATGCAGACCGCTTGCTCATTAATGTCCGAACAACTTGCTTCATTCCACTGGGCCCCTCTAGGGCTCCATTCCACAAGGCACGTTACCCTTTTAGCTGACACATCCAGATCTCACTCTTGGAACAGACTTCTCCACAGTTGAAACTGTGCTTGCAAATGGTCCAGTGCCATCATTTTCAAATACTATCTACATGCTGACAACTCCCAAATGTATGCCTCCAGCCTGGATCTCTCCCCAAGACTCCAGACTCATACATCTGACTGCTTATTTGGCACTTCCACGTGGATGTTTAATAGTCATCTCAAACATAACATGTCTACAACCTAGCTCTGATTTCGGCCCCCCACAGCCCCTGCCAGACATCGGTTCCATTTGCTGTTTTCCCCAACTCAGTTAATGGCAGTTTCTTCTTTCCACATGCCAGGCCAAAAACCTGTGTGCCCTCCTTGCCCACTCCCTTTCTATCATGCCCCACACCCATCTGAAACCTTTGTAGCTCAATCTCTGAGGCAAATCCAGCACCCAGCTGCTTCTCCACACCTTCACACGCCTACCCCACGGCAGGCTACGGTCATCCCACCCCGGAGGGCCCAACAGCTTCCCAGCTGGACCCCACCCTCCCCGCCGGCTCCCAGCCTATCCTCCACACAGCAGCCAGAGTGACCTTCTTAAAAGGTGTCGCTCATCTGTACAAAGCCTAATGACTTCCCAGCTCACTCAGAAAAAAGTCAAAAGCCCTTTTCCTGGCCTATCAGGCCCTATGTGATCTGCAACCCTCCCTACCCATCTTTCAAAAACCAACAAAACCCAGACTGCCTCAACCAGACCCCACTGTCCCTTCTCCTCCAGACAAGAGGCAGGTGCTGCTTCCACTCTCGCCATCTCCTCAATCCACTGAGACTGATTTCTTGCCAGGGATCAATGACTGTACTGCTTGATACTGCCCGCGTACATTTCCAAACCCACATCTGCCCGCGCACTGCTGCCGCATCTCACTCTGTTGAGTACTTCCTTCTTCAAACTCCTTTCTTCTTTTGCTTTGGCATCATCTCTCTCCAGGTTCACTCCCACATATCTGGCTGCCCTGTTGCCTACATGTCGGATCTGTCCTTGGCCTCCTTCTCACTCAACATGTGCCCTTTGAGGGTCGCATCCATACCCATGACTTCAAGCTCAGTGCTGACTCCAGAGCACCCACCCTGCCCATTTCTCCCCCATGAACCGGACTGCCAGGTGGTGCTCCCCAGCTGGACAGCTCCCAAACACACTTGCAACTCAACACATCCAACACTGAACTCATCACTTTCCTCCCAAAACACGCTCCTCCTGTGCTTCCTCAACTAGAGGACACCCCATCCCTGAAGCTGCTACAGCAGAAACCCTAGGATCCTCCTCAGTCCTTCCCTGCCTTTGTCTCGCATGTCCACTTTCTCACCGGGTACTGTGGAGTCTAACTCCCAAATGTCTTCTGAACTTGTCTCCTCTTTTCCCTTCTCACTACTGCAGCCTGGACTTCTGCAATAGCTCCAAAAACACTTTCCAGGACTGCACTCCTGTCCCCTTTCCCAATCTACTGTCTACACTGAGACCCAGAGGGACCTCCTCTCCCCAGTTTCCTGCCTAACACCCCTTGATAGCTTCACCCTACCCTGTGATCAAGCCTCTGCCCACCTGTCAGTCCTCAAAAGTGCTGGAGGCTTGAACCACGATGAACCCCTCACAGCCCCTGGCACCAGCTCACTTGCTGTTGTACATGCTGCACCCTCACTCGCCATTGCCCTCCTCTCAGCTCTTCCCTGGCTGAAGGGCACTCCTTCTTCAAGACTCAGTCGATGGGTTCCTCCAGAAAGTCTTCACCAACTGCCCCCGCCCCGCCCGAAGCCCCCACAGCCTCTATCACAGCCTTTTCACCCTGTTCTGTCCATTCACCCATCTGTCTCCCTGCCCCTCTGGCTTGTGGGTTCTTACAGCACATAACAATTATTCAAAAAATACTTGTTACATGAATAAAAGAGTGAACACAGAAATTCATGAAGTACCAAACTAGATGTTCTCCTCCCCAAACAACCCTCCACGATCCCTCCCCTACCTTTGTTGGTAACAACAAAAACGATACTGTGCCGGCTCCATTCCAAGTACTTTACACATACGAACCCATTTAATCCTACAACTCTGCTATTATTATCGCCATTTTCTTTTTCTTTTTTTTTTTTTTTTTGAGGAAAATTAGCCCTGTACTAACATCCGCCACCAATCCTCCTCTTTTTGCTGAGGAAGACTGGCCCTGAGCTAACATCCATGCCCATCTTCCTCTACTTTATATGTGGGACGCCTGCTGCATGGCTTGACAAGTGGTGTGTATGTCCACACCCAGGATCCGAACTGGCGCCGGTTCCCCGAAGCAGAGCCCATGAACTGAACTGCTATACCACCGGGCTGGCCCATTATCGCCATTTTCAGTCAGGGAAATTGAGGTACAAAGAGGTTTAAGTGACTGATGCAGCCCAAGTGGCAGAACCAGGGTTGGTGCTAATCTGTGCTCTTAACTACTGTAGGCACTGCCTCTTGATAGTGTGTTTAAGGAAAACAAACCAAAACCAACATCAGCCTGAGCAAAAGACAATTCTGAAACACAAACTCCTAAACAAACAGAAATTAGCCATTTGGGGGTCATCTCTTGCTTTTGGCTTAGTCTATC